GTAACAGAATTTGGCTGACCAGCCGATCGCCCGGAATTTGGCCAAATCACAATTCATTTGAAACCAAAAGCATTCATCTAATGACGATGACATTTTGCCAATGAAAGGGCTAAAATAAATCAAACTCAAGTTTATTTAAGTGCCAGGAAAGTCTCCTAATTGTAGCTCCAATCCACATTATGTGAAGTCAGCATTACTGATGTCTAATGTCCAATCAGATGCATTCCATTGAAGCTTGTCTGCTTAAAAATCAGGTGGTGTCACCAAGGGGATTTATAAAAATGGTGATTTAACTTTTATGAAATATAGTCTATGGGGCCATATATTTAACACCTAAAATAATTCAGAAAACTGAAGTGCTTTAGGGCAATTGAATTGTGTCTTTAAATTCCACTAAGCATGGTTGCCCAAGTGAACCCAAATGAACCTTCAAAGACACGCACATTTTAAAACACAAGATAGTAATTGATCTTATTTTTTTATCATCATCATTAAGTATATGACCCCAAGTAATCACCTTTTGAAATATGCAAATCATATATACATAGAACAGGAATTAATGGAGGTTTTAAAACATTAACAGAGCATCAAGGGCATTTTGTGTACCAAAAGGACAAATTGTAATTTACTAGGAAGAGTGAAAAATGTACTATAAACAGTAGGGTACAGTAGATTAGTTTTATTAAAAAGGAGATATGCTCACCAAGTAAAACCTTTGTTAGATTAATCAAGATATTCATTGTGTCTGTACGTTAATATTGATCCAGAGAACAGTATAATGACATACCCACTGAATCAGGCTGCAAATTCAACCTGTGTTCCTCTAAGCAATGTCACTTGATCTAGTGAACTGGAGCATGGTGCAAATTGTCAATGCAGCAAAAAAAGGAACAATTAATGCCTTTACAGGAGATAACAAATGGAAATGCATTATTGACACTTTAAATATTGCAAGCAGCGAATGAAACTGTACATGCAACTGGCATTTAAAAGAATGCATCAACATATTCCAAACAAATAAAACGTAAAAGACCCCAGAGATATCCTTTATCACCCAAGTGGAGTGTTAAAAGTTGAATTGCAACATTGAGACCAAAAATAGCCATTGGTGGTTAGAATATTCACCACTACTAAGTGTTAAGGAAACATGTTTTACACAAAAAAAAATAACATTTAAGTAAACTTTTAATTATGTCACAGAAGGAAAAGTTAAACTCTTATCTAAATAGTGTCAGATTCTGGGAATAAAGCTCAGATTACATTTTAGACTGATGCATGTGAGATGGACACAATAATGTAACAACCTTTTAAATGGGACTACTTCCCTTTCCAAGATGCTGACGACTAAGGTCACTGTTATTCCAAAACAGGGTAAAGATAACAAACACTGTGCAAACGACAGGCTTATCTCACTGGTAATGGGGACATAAACATATATGTAAATGTTCTAGCTGACAGATCTGCCCAGTCTTGGTTAGGAGATTATTTCTCCTAACCAAGTTTGTTTTTGGGTTTGTTGCTAATCGTGAAGTCCCCTGTATTATGAGAAGAACCATAGATCTAGTTGATATTGCCGTGCTAAAACCCCCATGATACTGATCAGTCTTGATACGGAAAAGACTTGTGATAGGACCAATATCTCTGGGAATATAAGGCTCACATAGGTTTTCCACCTAAATTTGTGAAATTCTAGAAGAAGCCTTTAGTCATCACCAATGGAATGATTTACTTAAATGGAAACAGAATCTGAGAGTGTCCCAATATAAAATTAGAATATGTCAGGGTTTTAATCTCTCTCATCTTTACTCTTTGTGATTGCAATTCCGCCATTGGTACAATTTCTCCAGATATCACTGGACTTAAATCTGGAACGAAAGACTTAATATTGCACATAATTAATTAATTTATATGAAAGACAGCCATGTGAAAAGTAAGAAAAAGAGGGGAAAGGAAGAGCAGTATGAAAAAAAAATATATCACCTTTCAGTTAACCTGTGAATGCAATGGTAGTAAATTTCTTGTTTCATCCAAATAGTTTTCCTGAATATTTTGCATTGACAATATTTTGACAAGTCAAACCCCCACCCGGACAACTATCTGCTCGGAAATAAGAATTCAAAAAAAGAGGATCAGAAGAGATTGGGAAAGAAAATGCCCTTTGACAACATCTGTCATTTAAAAAAAAAAATATATATTGTAAACTGTTAACCCTTTCTCATAAATAAAGCACAAATCTCCAACTTGCCTCCATTTTCTGATGCAATTCTTACAACGTCTTAGGTAATCACTCTGTTGTTCTATGGAGATTAGCCACTAATGATTCATGCTCTCCTGCTGTCTGGAGTGTTGCTCCAGTATCTGTGAGTAGATGAACATTAAGTGGGTTCTTCATACAAGTGGTGTGTGCTTGCATGAGTGTGTATGCGTGTGTGTGTATGTTCATGTGTCTGTGTGTTGATGTAATATGCCATGCATAATTTCCGAAAAAATGTTTAATGGATGAACATTATTAATGTATTAATAAGCATAAAAAATATTACCACTAAAAATACATACAATTAAAGTTTGAGATTCTCTAAAATAATAAAATACGGTAACCTGCCTCTCTACTGGTGATTTGGTTTTATTTCAGGATTCATAATGGTGTATGAACACTGCAAAGCAACCAATTTTCTCTGAACTTTATGAGATAATTTCAGAGTGGATTGAAAGTTGAAAGTAGCTTAGTATTTCTCGAGTAACAGAGCAAAATAATAAGCATAACATGACTCCTACAGTCAACCATCTGTTTCCTTAATCCAAATATGATGACTATAAGCTCTGAGTTGAAAAATGAAAACGTAATTGCTCTTATAGCAGATTTTCAAACTTTTAAAATCCATTTTTATAAATAGTTATCCAAGTTTTTGTTTTTTTTGTGTTTGCTTAAGGGATAATAAAATAAATTAAAGTTATCCACGACATAAGCTCTTTTATAAAACGTCTTAAAATGACAGTGTATAAATGATTTACACATATATGTCTGGCAGATCTATTTCATTGTGATTTAATGGATAATGAAATCAAGACACTATTTCTGTGATGTTTCCAGAGTTGTCACCAAGGGAAGCAGGAACTAATGTAGAATGAATTAATAACAAGTAAAATACTTATTCATCAGTCCTTTAAGGTCAGTGTGGAATCCTAAGGAAAATCTCTCTCTAGCGCATTTATCACACATATTCTGAGACTGTTACATAACTACTTTTATTTTGTGTAGTGTTATAATTATTTTTTGCAAATACATTTTTATTATGGCATCACTTAAGATATTCAGAAGCCTTATAATGTAGAACCGGCTTTAAAGGAGCACTATAGTGCCAGGTAAACACCTACATGTTATAATTGGGTTTCAATTGTATATATTAGAGGGAGTTGAAAGGTGTCCATGATATACCCTCCAACAGCGAGTCCAGACCCCGTAAGTTCCCATCCTGCAGGGCCCTGTGGATAGGGATATAGTCCCCTTTCCCCAGGACGGACCAGGACCTCGAGGAGAGCCTCCCACCCCAATTTGCTATTGTTTGTCCCCGGGTGTAGGGACTGGGTTTAGGCGAAATGTGCAGTTGTTCACAGATCGACTTCCAAGATCTTAGCGCTTGGGATACCGGATCTCTGCTATCCCTCTGTGGTATCTCATCTGATCCCCCAAGCCATACCCCCAACTCCAGGTTGGTATCTATATCCCCTCTATCTAGTGCTATCAATTGTTTTTGTGGTGCACCCGCTTGCCATTCAAGGATTCATTGCATAATCGTTGCCTGATGGTGCTTTTTAAAGTCGGGTAATGCCATTCCTCCTCTGTATCTGGGCAAGCAGAGCAATTCATGACGCAGCCGGGACCTTTCCTCCCGTATTTAATGACCGCTGATTTCAACGAAGAGAAAAATTATGCCGGCAGGGCCAATGGGATGGTCTGAATGAGGTAGAAAACCCTTGGGAATATATTCATTTTGATCACTGCTACCCGCCTGTGCCACGTCACGTGGGGGTACGTCCACCTGTCCATGTCAGCCAGCAGTTTTTTCAGCAAAGGTGTAAGGTTACATAGATGTCTAGATGTCTCGTGGATCTGTGGTCACCCAAATTTCAAGATATTTCAGCACCAATGGAATGGGAACAGTGGGTCCAAGACTACGTAGTCCGCAGTAAGCAATGTAACATTCAGCACTTTGCATTTTGATAAGTTGAACTTGAATCCTGAAAGTCTGCCAAATTTTTTTAATTCCGATAGGAGACATGGCAGTGTGGTCCGAGGGTTTGATACGAAGAAAAGAAGGTAATCTGCGTAGGCAGCAACATTATGCTCCACTCCCTGCCAAGTATAGCCTTGAATATCGGGGTTCCGGCGAAATGCTTGAAGTAGTGGTTCCAAGGACATAGCAAACATCAGTGGGGAAAGGGAGCAGCCCTGCCTTGTTCTGTTGCTTATTTCGAAATCGGCTGTCAAGGCCCCACTGAGGCATGAGACTTGTTAACTATAGCAGTGATCCACATGGGTAATCTCTCTCCCAGTCCCATCCTCCTTAAAGTGGCTAACATATATGACCAGCTGACACGGTCGACTGCCTTCTTAGCACCAGTCGATAGTAATAGGAGGTGTTTCTGCATCTTCCTAGCATGATGTTGTATAGCGAAATACTATAAAGTGCTATCTTGTGCTTCTCGCCCGGGAATAAATCCCTGGATGGTTCAAGGTTGGCAAAAGGGATTGTAGTCTAGTGGACAGGACCTCCGTGAACAGTTTTGCATCGACATTCAGCAGTGAGATCAGGCGATAGCTGCTGCAGTTCACTGGGTCCTTCCCGGGTTTGAGCAAGACCGTGATGGTCACTGCCAGAGATTCTGCCCCAGATTTCCTCCCCTCTGCGATGTCGTTGAGCGCTTTCTTTAGTCATGGTATTAGCACTCTTCTTATAGTATCCCGTTGAGAATCTGTCGGGGCCCGGAGCCCTACTGGCTTTGGTTCCTTTCAGAGCTGCAGAGAGTTCTTCTATTCCAATTTGTGCATCCAGCATGGTTGCAGACTCGGGGCTTACCGTTTTGTTGTCATTAGTAAGGAGATAGTTGTTGATTTGCGTGGACCCGTTCAGTTCCGGGATGTTTCCATTGGGTGCAGGCAGATTATACAAGGAATGATAATAGAGCCTGAATTCCTCTGCTATATCATTCGGAAATGAGGACATTGTCCCCGTTGATATTCTCAGTTTACGGACCTGTGTGTGGGGAGTGTTGCCCTTCAAAAGGTGCGCTAGAAATTTGCCCCCCTTGTTTGCATGTCATAGAGTAAACCCTTGAAGTGTTGTAAAGATCGAAGGTAACTATGTGTAAGAAGCTCTTTCAGCCATCTTCTGTCCTGCAAAAGTTCACTATCGATTTCTATCAATTGAGTATGTTTATGTTGTAGCACAAGATTGATTTATAAAGGTCAGTCATCTCTCGAATAGCTGCCTTCTTCCTATGAGAGGCGATGCGTATGAGCGTGCCACAGATTACACTCTTATGGGCCTCCCATATCAAAATGGACGAAGTGTCCGCTTGGGAAATCTGCTCCCGTACCTCGGGGTCCAAGAACAGGGCTTCATTGGTCCTCCATGTCGAGGTCGAGGGTCAAAATAAAGGTTATTCTAGCTCTATACTGACAGTCATCTTTAGCAGGCGAGAGAGTCCTTCCTGTCTGATGAAGAGAGTGTCTATCATGAAATGCGGAATAATGTGTGAAGTATTTGACGTTTGGGTTAAGGATTCTACAGCAATCCACCAGACCCATGTCACCCAGCGATCTGCGGATGGAGCGAATGCACAGTTTGGAAATGCAGCTATATCCCGAAGATGAATCAAGTAGCGGGTCAAGAGGAGCATTAAAGTCTCCTCCCACTATCAAGTTGCCTTCTGAGAAGTACTTTAGTTTGCTTAGTGTATCCCTGATAAATTGTACTTGCCTCTTGTTGGGAACGTATACAGATGCGAAGGTATGCATCTTGTCGGCAATAATGCCTCTGAAGAAAAGAAAGCGCCTGCTCGGATCATGTAAGCGGTCCAGTTCCTGAAACTGTAAGTCAGCTGCAAGTAGGATAGCGACACCGGCCTTGCGAGGCGAGGGATTATGGCAAATGTAGTTAACTAGGTTGAGTTAACTGTTTTGAAGTTTAGGAGCCGCGCTGTCCATAAATTTTGTTTCCTGAAACTTTGCTACCGAGATATGTTTTTTCTTCAGTTCCCTCAACAGGTGGGTTCTGTGTTTCAGGATGTTTAATCCCTTACAGTTAAGAGTGAGGACAAACAGGGGGACGTGGAGATATGCCATGGTAACCCCAGGTCCAGACCCTGAACACGCGAAAGGCGCATCACTAGCTCCCCAAACATCCCGATTCCAGCAGCTGAGCGCCCGGGGCAGCCCGAACCAGGGGGGAGAGATAGGGTGAGTTAAGAACTTTAAGGAAAATAGAAGAGAGTGATGAGAACAGTTAAGCAGGAAAGGAAGAAATGGGGTTACCCGGTCACTCCCCCCCAAATATAGGGAGTTGGGGGTGACTAGGAGAGCCTAACAAGTGATGAAGGGCAACAACGTTATCCCCTCACCCCCCAATCACAGACATTAGGGGCAGGTAGGCAATCCATCTGAAAAGGAGAATTAAAAGGGGAAAAGGTAGAAACAGAAGACAGCGGTTATTTTTTTTTGTTTTAAAAAGGGAAAAAATACCCAAAGAGAGAACCCCTAACAGGACAAGAGAGGTCCCTTAACTTCCCCCTTCATTCAGAGAGAACTCGTGCTGCGACGAGAGCTGCCAGGGGATCGCTGCGGTAGCCTGACCAGGCTCCGCTCAGTGGTATTACAACAAGTCAATGTGTATCAGGCCCGCCCCACGTTGTACCCCTTCAGTGCATATATCAAACCTTCTGTATTGCCAGTTAAAAATTCACATGCCCATTTGAGAACAGAAACAAAAGAGTAACAATAACTAACCAATCATCCCCCCACACACCCGAGTCACCCAGCCAGGATTCCGTGTATTTCCACCTGCCATAGCCTCCACCCGTTGGCCCGCACACCCCCCTACATGGCTCAGTAGTTAAAAAACAGATTTTGAGATGTCCCCATCACCATTAGGTCATTAGAATGCCCACATTTCCCCCCCCCCCCTTCACAGGATCCCTAACCAACTTGCCTTCACCATAAGCTATATTACATAATTCGTGTTGAAGCACCTGCTTAGGTCAAGGACCATATCCCTCCTCCCCCCATACATACTTCATGGCATGTAAAGCACAGGATCCCCGTCCCTATTTAGCAAATCAGGAGTAAGAGTAGCAGGTTAGTAGCAGCTGAGGACCCCTGGGGAGTTCTCTCCATTCCTTGCAAGAAGATAGAGTGCTCTGTAAAGTTAACCTAATTTACTTGTTCCCAAACTTAGTGTTTTCCCTTATTGTTTTTTGTTTTGTTTTTTAATTATAAGACATATAATTGAACTCCCCTTCTTGTTCCAACTTACTACCCATTCCCTGCACCCCAATGTCATTTTGCATCCCTTCCCCCTTCCCCGATTGTTTCCATGACCCGTCCCCCTAAAGTGAGGGACAACCTGGGCTACCAGGGAGGGTGTAGGGGTTGTCATGGTATACAAAATGAGGCAGGCTGGGTTTGTAAAGGTATAGTGGCCACATGTAATATTCTTCTCCCCTACATGCCAGAAGTATAGGCAGGGACCCACCTCCTTGCCATCTAGGAGCCCGCTGCAGCCGGGGCCTCAACCCCAAGGGATTATTAAGTAGGTAGGGCTCCACAGTAGCCCGATGTCGGTCTGTCGTGGGCCCTGCACATGATGGCCTCCTTAACAGGGAAGGAGTGAAGGAAGCAGATCAGATCCTTTGACCCCTCTTCCAGGGAGTGCGGCCTCAGAGCTCTGTGAGCCCTCTCAAATTCATCTTGCAGAAGTATCCATTCTCCTTAACTTTGGCCTGCGGTATTCTGCAGATCCGTATGTTGCATCTGCAGACTCTGTTATCGAGGTCTTCTAAGTGCCATAGCCAGGATCATTTCACCTTGGCGGGACACGGCTTTGTCCGACGCCGTGATCCTGGCGGACTGGGCCACAGCCGAGTGCTCTTGTATCTGGATGCGGCCTGCTTGCATAGCGACTTCTGTCCGTAGGCCCGCCATCTCCACCCACAGAGCATCCTGGATGGTAGTGGTGAGATTCTGTAAGTCGGCTTTAGTGTCCATGGAGGCAGCCATACTTCACATTTCCTCCCCTATCCGGTCGAGCGCAGTAGTCTTCAAGCCAGCTAGGTAGGCCAGTGGAGTCTCAGCCCCTCCACATGCGCGTGACTGAGAGTGCAGGTATCCATTAATGAGACCTATATGGGACCCAGATTGTGAGCCCCTTGGGGTCTGGGGTGGGGTTTGGGGCATCGAGTGCATCCCATTCACTGTGTATAGCTGATTTTTAGGGTATCAGTGGAGAGGAGCTCTCAGTTTACGTGGCCATCTTGAACCGAGCCCAAGCCACTCCCCCACCTTCTTCCTTTTTCTATGCACTTTCTACTGGTCCGGGATTGAGAGACTCAGATTTGGGTGTTTGAGATGCCTATTTACCTCAAGCATAAGTGCTAGAAACCAAGAGTCCATATTTCTAAACCTTTAAAATTATATAATATTATGAAAAATATGAAAAAAAAAATATTTTGAGATTTTGTAATGTGTTGATACATTTTTTTTTACATATAATATATTTTTTGATATTATAATAGGTTGAAAAAAATAATTTTAGAAGTGTACCCAAAAATGTTTCAATAATTAAACTTAACATTTACTCTTTATTAAGTCACAGCACCGATAGTATATATCCTAACCCTTTCAGAAACTTAAATGGCTATCTGGTCTATCAATTCCCCTTACTCAAATTCCTTTGTGATATAAGGAGTTCACATATGATTATTTCTTACAATTCTTCAAGTAAGCAATCAGGAAGAATTTTCAGTGGACTCAAAGGATTTTTTTTTTTTACTGCAAGAAATACTGCATTTAAATTAAAGCAGGTGGGTAGATTTGCAAGGAGATATAGAAGAAAAAAGATTTACAGATCTGTTTGACATTGAAAAGCTGTATGTCAACGCCACGCCACGCCATATAGGTGTGTCTTTTAAACAAAATTAGAAATGTATCATGAGATTGATAAGAGAGCAGGACTAAAACCATTCTTAAACATACAATGATTGTTCAATTGATAATTAAATTATATAAAATAACAAACTCTAAGAGATTATATACATTTGAAAGATATAGAGCATCCATAGCTTAACCACAAAATTTTATCTGCTTTTAATATAATATGATATTTTAATATGATATTTATGAGCATCACAACTAATTTGCAGTTGATCATCAGTGTGAGATTCTTAATGAGCTTCTCATTAAATACTTGAGCTGTCATGTTGCTTTCTTGTTACCGATAGCAAGTTCAATCTGTAAGCAATATGAACCGAAGACTTCTGGATGTCACACATGCCATTTACAATCAGGTAATAACATTTGACTGGATACTTGTTAGATAAATGCCCTTCATTACAAATTATGTGTTTATAAATGATAAACTAATAGCTTACTTTGACATTTAATATGTTTAAGGTCTTTGTATAAGGTCAAAACATTCCAAATAAACCCTTGAATTAATACTCACCTTAGTGCAATACGTAGAAAGTATCACCATGTGTGTAACTTGCTTTGAAGAAATGAGTTTAATAAAACAATGTTATACATTGGCTCTAAGTTTGCTTAGATACATCACCCACCGGCGCATTATTAATAAAGGGCTTTATTCGCTAGTAAATGAGAAATGTTGATCTCTATAGAGCACGCCAAGAAACAAACACTGACCAAGGAAAAAGTATGAAAAAAAATGTTATTAGTAGCTTGTGATTCACATCACAGTGGGGAGAGACAGTCAGAAACAAAATAAAAAGGGAAAATGTATGGGACCTGATTCTTAGATTTATTTACTAAACTGGGAATTGGAAAATTATAAAGGAAAATTATAATTGATAAGGGCTCTGATTAACCTCTTCACTACCAAGCTCTTTTTGATTGAAAAAATATTAGCATTTATTAATTTGGAGCAAGGGATGCATAGCTAAAATATAAACATATCATACAACAGCAATATTGTGTTTAGATTACTTTACAGACAAACATAAAAATGGAAATTATGTACATTTGCCCAATTATTTTTCAGTTATTTGTTCATGCTTTATAAAAATATATTTGGGAAATAAAAAGTTTTAGACTGTATACGGTGTCCTTTGTCTTGCAATATTCCACATAAGTTTTGTTATGTTACTATGAATAAAAATGGTCAAATACTCAGCTTATAGGTATTTGCAAGGACCCTGTAGGCATTACTAGCAATGCAACTTACTGAAAATGACAATAAAATGTAAAAAGAATAACTGCATTAATTCACGATTCCTACATGCAATAAATATGAGTGGTAGAAAGAGGATCCAGGCACTCCAACTATCTTCAATTGTATTTATTAGGACAAGTGAGACACCCAGGGCTAGATTAAGAGCCCAGTGGGCCTGGTGCTGACAATTATGACGGACCTAATTAAAGAATCATAGCGACCAAAAACACTAAAACACTCCCAAGTGTGGAGATGGTGCTGGAGAGAAAGAAAACAGCAGCTATAAGAAAACACATATCCTATGCTAATCTCCCTCTAATTTATGTTTTCATCTTTCAAGTAAATCCATAACCCCTAACAGCAGTGTCCAGTCAAGCAGGAAGTAAATGGGCATGGTAAAAGGGTGTGCCACTGACACAAATCATGTAACCTGCCAAAAGGGGCGAACATGCCCAAAAAGAGGACATGTCTGCCCAAAGAATTAGAAGGCCAGCCTGGCATGAATGCATGTCAGACTGCCTGCCAATCATGCAGCTGGCCAACTAAGGGCATACTATGCAGACAGCACCCTGAGCTTGTCATAAATGCATCTAATGATGCGCTCGCTCAACGCTTTCTAAGGACTCCTAGCACTCGCTGGTCCACTTGTCTCCTTACCTTCTTACTAGCAGGCAGACGCTCCTGGTATATAGTCTGGGACAGAGAAAAGCTGTATGTAGTGAGTGTAGAAGAAAGGGAACATGCCACAGTGTTAGAGAGACCACAGTCAGCATTACCTTAAAGGATCACTGTAGGGTCAGGAACACAAACATGAATTCCTGACCCTATAGTTAACACCATATAGCTTGGTGCTACTTCCAAGTGCAGTTTCTAAGTGTGTAGTTGGAGATATTCTGGAGAGTTTTACAGAAGCTTCAACTGTCTAAGAGTTGTGCTAAGAGCTTTCTTTTCTACTGTTACAGGTAAGATTCATCTGTAGAAAAAGGTTACTGATTGCCCAAGGTTTGAATTCCTGTTGGTAATTATAAGGCATTTGATTTGATTAAGCTAGTTACTTGCTGTTGATTGCTGGTTAATTAGCTATTGTTTGCAAATAAGCAGAGGCCTACCCAGGTGTTAAACATTCCTAGTGGGCGGTGATTTAAGGAGTTATATAAGGCTTGGTCTCATTAGCTTGTCTAATATAGCTTGGTGCTACTTCCAAGTGCAGTTTCTAAGTGTGTAGTTGGAGATATTCTGGAGAGTTTTACAGAAGCTTCAACTGTTTAAGAGTTGTGCTAAGAGCTTTCTTTTCTACTGTTACAGGTAAGATTAATCTGTAGGAAAAGGTTACTGATTGCACAAGGTTTGAATTCCTGTTGGTAATTATAAGGCATTTGATTTGATTAAGCTAGTTACTTGCTGTTGATTGCTGGTTAATTAGCTATTGTTTGCAAATAAGCAGAGGCCTACCCAGGTGTTAAACATTCCTAGTGGGCGGTGATTTAAGGAGTTATATAAGGCTTGGTCTCATTAGCTTGTCTAATATAGCTTGGTGCTGTTTATAAGTGTGTAGTTGGAGATATTCTGGAGATAACCTGGAGGTAATCTGAGGTATTCAGGAGGATAAAGAAAAAAGTTAAGATTTGTTAGATTTAAATTATTCTCATAATTGGAATGGCAGGCTTAGTTCAGTGTAACAGTTGCTATGCATTTGTTTCACGTTCCACTTTTTGGAGGTTTGGTTGTTGTCTAATCTGTAGACAGTTCTCTATCTTGCGGCAGGAGATTGTATTTTTGAAGTCTGAGATTTGTAAATTATCTGGTGTAGAAACTCAGACTGGAACTGCTGCAAAGCCACTGCCGCAGAGACATGCTAGGAAAGGCAGATGGATTACTGTAGGATCTGGTAGACTTAGAGTTGTGGATAAAAGGCATTTTGCACAGTCTGTTGCTCTTCATAATTCATTTTCTGCACTTTCAGAGTGTAATGGTGTTGTGGAGAGACGCACTGAGGCTAGTGGTGTTGTGGAGAGAGGCACTGAGGCTAGTGGTGTTGTGGAGTGAGGCACTAAGACTAGTGGTGTTATAGAGAGAGGCACTGAGGCTAGTGGTGTTGTGGAGAGAGGCACTGAGACTAGTGGTGTTGTGGAGACCGGCTTGGAGACTATGGTGAGGCCTAATAGAAAGCAGTTGTTGTTGGGTGATTCCATTATAAGAGGTGTGGAGATGGACAATGGTGGTCTTGTGAGGTGTCTTCCCGGAGCTACTGCTCACAGAGACAGGAGACGTATCTGTAATATTGTTAAGCAAGCAAAGCAGGAAGGGGAATTGGATGTACTTGTCCATCTAGGGACAAATGACTTGGCTTGCAATGAGGTTTCAGAGGTTAAGGAAGTTTTTAGTGTTTTTGCCAATGATATACGGCAGGTTGCTTCCACACTGTCATTCTCTGAAGTTCTGCCTGTGCATAACACTCAGAACGACAGGCGGATGCGTATTAGGGACTTTAATTTGTGGCTTGGTGAATGGTGTCGGGAGCAAGGATTTGGCTTTATTTCTCATGGTAGCTCTGTTTGGAATGGAAATAAGCTGTACAAAAAAGATGGTTTGCATCTTTCTCAAAAGGGAACAAATGTTCTCAGTGAGCAGTTCAGAGGTTTTGCTAGGATGTATTTAAACTAGGATGGGGGCAAAAGGGTGATAAAACATCAATCCAATTGTCCCCCAAAACAAGATAGAAGGTGCCTGTAGCAAGTGTGTTAAAAAATGATAAGCTTAGAGTCATGTCTACAAATGCTCGCAGTTTAGGGAATAAGATCCATGAACTTGTGGCAATAATGGCAACTGATAG